TGCTTTTGTGTCTGCAAGACAGAGGACCTGGAAAGGCAGCTGCATGTTTAAAATTGTCATCTCCAGGTAATTTTCCTTGAAGGTCCAGCCTGTTGGCCTCTCCTGGGACCTGGGGCCAAACACCTGAGGCCTGTTGGGTTGTATGAGCTTGGCCAGTTTGCTACTGATTCACCCTTGGCTTGGTTCATGGTATTTCTTGAGAAGTAAACATTTTTGGGTTTTTGGGTTCCCTGTTACACTTATGAAAATCTTTTCCCTCTCCCCCTCCCACCCAACAACATTCTCTCACATTTTGTTGCAATGTTTAAAAAAAATTTTTGTTTAACCTCCATTCCCTGTGGAATATATTTTAGCTTAAGTGGTAAGGCAGGAGTACAGCTTTGTTTTACTTTTCCAGATGGAAATCGACTTATACCAGACCGACTGTCTAACACGCCGCCTGGGTCAGTACATCCCTCCCTGCCTGGTTTTGTACCTGTCGGTTTGATTCCCCTTCGGCTCCTTCAAGAAAGATATCCTGCTGCCTGTCAGTGGAACAGGTGATTCCTGTGTGATCGGGGAGGTCCCAGATGCATGGCACTAGAATTTGGGGTGACTGTCAGCATCTAGATGGATCAATCTCCCAGGCTATTCTTAGAATTTATTTTCTCACATGAAATTTAAAACCACATTAGCCAATTCTCTCACCTCTGCCAAAAAAAAAAAATTCCACTTAGATTTAATAATTGCATTAAATTTAGATGTAAGTATGGAGAGTTGACATTTTTATGATCTTAAATCTCCCCAGATGATATGAAATGGTTTTCCATTTGTTTGATTCCTTTTAGATCTTCCAACAGTACTTTATAATTTCCTCATACAGATTCTATAACTTTCTTTTAATTTATTCCTAAGTGTTGAATGGTTTTTGTCACTATTGTGGATAGGATTTGTTCATCTCTATTCCTGGTTACTAATATAGAGAAAAGCAAATTAATATAATTCTTAATAAACCTGTTTTTTATAGGTACAGTGTGCAAATTTGCCAATGGGCCAATTTAACTGCCATTTTGCTTGAGCTAGCACCTCTGTCACAATGTTGAATAATTATCTGGGTGTTGATTCTGGTGTGGATTGAAGTTCACATATTGGCTGTTGGTTTTGGTGAATGGTCTTTAATGTGTGGGAAGGGTTTCCTTGTGTGTGTGTGTTTTAACTTGGGGCTTGTGGGATGCAGCCATGGCCTGCCAGTCTTGCCTGAGTTGAGCACCACGGGGCTCCAGTAACACAGAATGAATGTGGGTTGTGTGTCCCTCAATACCCCCTGACCCTTTCCTCCCAACCTCACTGTCAAATGCCTTTTCAGCATCTACTGATAAACATAAGGGAGTTTTTTTCCTTTATGTTGGTGTTTTAACAATTGTTTTTAGACATTGAGAAGCTACAAAAGAATAGTGTATTTAAAAAGATTTATGATGTCGGAAGCCTATGTAATGTATGTCCATTACCTGTTTTAAAAAAAAAGTATTATTATTACTTTATAAATCCCTGAATGTCTACTGCTCCTCTCCTGTTAACTTTAAAAGGAAATGTCAGTTATTTTACCAGCAAAAATGGGTTAATTTGGGAATAGCAGAGACTAGCAACAGTTTGAGACAAGCAAGCTTGCTTAAAACCATAGGCATGTCTGGAGAACAACGCAGAAGATTGCTCTTTAATAGAGGAGAAAGCTGAGTTGGGAGGGCTGTTCTAAGCAAAAAAGCGCATTGGAGGAAACTGGAAGTTCCATGTATCATGGCTTCTCATTGGCTGAGTTGTGACAGCTGGGCTGTTGGGGGGAGGCACAAGATGGAAATCTTCCTTCCTCCTGCTGGACTGTGAAGTAGCTAAAACAACTGGACTTGCAGGGTGTCTGTCTCTTCCTGTGAAGTCAGTAACTGAGGAGTGGTGGGACGCAAGAGCTTCCCCTACTGGCCTGCTGATGCCATGTCGGTGAGGTTTCCTTTTATTGATTTTAATACCCATTTCCTCTTTGATCAGCCATAACCCTCATCCTGAACTCTGTTTATCTTTCTTTGCTGTTTTTATACTTTTACCTCCTTGGTTCGTATTCCTAAGCAAGAGTTTTGCTTCCCTGTTTCTGGACTTAGATGGACATAACGTTTTAGTCAGTATTCTGCAGTTTGCTTTTATTTTTCAATATTATGTTCCAGAAATTCATCCATGCTGTTTGGATGTAGCTGTAGTTTTTTCATCTTTGCTACTGTATAGTAGTCCGTCACTGCCAAATGTCTGTACAGTCATGAAAATGAGTGAATCACACTTAGAAATACCACAAATTTTTGTGACTGGCATTTGGGTTGTTTCTAATTTTTTGCTGTTACAGTACATCTATGGATATTCTTGCTTATGTCTCCTGTTATATGCGTGATCCTTGGAATAGACTTGCTGCATCAAATGGGTCACACCCGCCCCAGCTTTACTAGACAATGCCAAATTTTTTTAGAAGCGGTTGTTATCAGTTTACATGGTCACTGGCACATTCTTCTTTTGTTTTCTTGTTGATTTATATTTTTGCATATTCTGGATCAAGTTCTTTATAAGTTATCTGTATATATTCTTTATAAGATAGCCACGTATCTCCCTTTCTTCTTCCTGTCTATATTTTTGTATATTCTGGATTAAGTTCTTTATAAATTATCTGTATATTTATATCTGTATATCTCCCTTTCTTCTTCTTGATTGTCTCCACACCCCTTAATGAAAGTCTTACCTTTCTCCATTAATCTACAGTAGTGCATTCTTATGTATGAAATGTTCATATATGTATGAGCCTGTTTCTGGATTTTTATTTAGTTGTATTTGTCTGTTGTCTCTTTATGCCAGTATCACGTCGATCATTACAGTTCACAATGACTTTCGGTATCCGGCAGAGACAGCCCTGCCACTTTCTCTGCTTCAGGGCTGTCTTGATTCTTCTGTGGCATTTTCATATAAATTTTTAAATCATTTTATCAAGCTCCATGAGAAAACCTGTAGGGGTTTCATTAGAACTGGTTGTTTTATCATCAGTTTGAAAAAAATTGATGTCTTTATATCCATTAATTTAGATCTTTCTTTAGTGTCTCTCAAAGTATTTTTATTTATTATTTCTCTTTAGAGGTTTTTTTATGTTAGATGTATACTAGGTACCTAATGATTTTTGATGCTATCGTAAATATTTTTAAAACTTCATTTTATGACAGTTCACTGGTAGCATATAAAAATGTAATTGGTTTTTATATATTGATTATTCTAATTTATCCTTAGATTCTCATGTATTTTTCTTTTTGCCTTATTGCATTGGCTAGGACTGCCAGTACAAGGCTGAATGTAATGGGTGAAAGCAGGTATCTTTTTTTAGTTCCCTGTCTCACAGAGAAAGTTTTTTTTTTGTAGATACCATTCATCAGATTAAGGAAACTTCCTTCTAGTCCTATTTCTAAGCATTTTTTTCCTTTTTTTTTTTTGCTACTTCTTTTTTTATTTTTATTTTATTTTATTTTTATTTTGGTATCATTAATCTACAATTACATGAAGAACATTATGTTTACTAGGCTCCCCCCTTCACCAAGTCCCCCCCACATACCCCTTCACAGTCACTGTTCATCGCATATTTTTCCTTTTAAATATCATGGATACATGTCAAATTTTATCTTGTGTTTTCTGTATCCATTGAGATGACCATGTAGTGTTATTTACTTTGTTAATGTGGTGAATTACATTTGTTGGTTTTTCTTAGGGTAACCTAATCTTGCATTTCTGGAATAATGATTATAAATTTTCTGTATTGCTAGATTTATTAATATTGCTTTAAATTGTACCATGACATGAGTGACACTAGGCTGTAATTTTCCTCTCTCATACTGTCCTTGTTAGGTTTTGGTGACCAGGTTATACTAGCCTCAAGAAATGAGTTGGGGAGTATTTCCTCGGCTCTTGGGATAGTTTCTCTAAGGCTGGCTATTCTTTGGGCAGCTGTGTCTGGAGTTCTGTGTGTATACACATGAAGGGGGATTTTAAACTGATTAAGGTTTTTAAATGGTTATAATACTATTCAGGTTTTTCTAATTTTTAATTTTATTGTAACGTTTTTAAAGTTACTGCCACAAAGTAGTTTATAATATCTTTAGCATCTGTTTTTATGTTCTTTTCATTCCAAATATTGTATATTTTGGGTCCATCCATTTCCCTTCTCCCTTCCCTTTCTCTGTCTTCCTTATCAGTAAAGTTGATCAATTTTAGTTTTTCTAAGAATCAGCCTCAGCTTTCTTGGTCCTATTAAGTTTGGTTTCTCTTTCATTAATTCTGAAATTTATTTCCTTTTTTTTTTGTCCCTTTAAAATTTTTTAAAAATTGAGTTATTGTTGTTATACAATATTACATTAGTTTCAGGAGTACAACACAGTGAATTCAGAATTACATACATTATAAAATGGTCACCATGTAAGTGTGGTTACCATCTATTATCATACTAAGTCATAACAGTATTATTGACTGTATTCCCTATGCTGTACTTTCCATTCCCATGACTTACTTACAGGCGGGAGTTTGTACCTCTTTATCCCTTTCACCTGTTTCACCCATCCCCCATCCTCCCGCTCTGTGGCAACCACCAGTTCTCTGTATTTATGAGCCTATTCCTGTTTTGTTTTTTTAGATTTCAGATATAAATGAAATATGGAATTTACTGTCTTTCACTTAGCATAATACCTTCTAGGCCCATCGATGATGTCACAAATCATACACAAATGTGTACATATAGTGTGTATACACACACATATCACATCTTTAGTCATTCATCTACTGATGGACACTTAGAGTTGCTTCCTTACCTCGGCTATTGTAAATAACGCTGTGATAAACATAGGGGTGCATATACTTTTTAAATTAGTGTTTTCATTTTCTTCATGTAAATATCCAGAAGTGGACTTACTGGATTGTATTTCTCTTTTGAATTTTTTGAGGAATCTCCATACTGTTCTCCATAGTGGCTGCACCAATTTACATTTCCATCCTCAGCGTACGAGGGTTCCCTTTTGGCCACATCTTCCACACACTTACTTCTTGTCTTTTTGATGCCAGCCATTCTGACTGGTGTGCGGTGGTACCTCACTGGGATTTTGATTCACATTTCCCTGATTTGTGAGGTCAAGCATCTTTTTCTTAGTTGGCCATCTGTATGTCTTCTTTGGAAAATGTCTATTTAGTTCTCCTGCCCATTTTAAAATCAGATTATTTGGGTTGATTTGTATGAGTTCTTTATATATTTTTGATACTGATCCCTTGTTGGATGGATCATCATGCATATATTGTCCCATATAGCAGGTTGCCTTCTTGTTTTGTTGGTTTCCTTCACTGTGCAGAAGGTTTTTAGTTTGATGTAGTCCCTTGTTTATTTTTGCTTTTGTTTCCCTTGCCTGGTAGATATATCCAGAAAAAAATTACTAAGGCTGATACCCAAGAGCTTACTGCCTTTGTTTTCTTTTAGGAGTTTTATGGTTTCAGGTCTTACTTAGGTCTTTAATACATTCCAAGTTTATTTTTTGTGTATAAGACAGTGATCCAGTTTCATTCTCCTCCACATAGCTGTCCAGCATCCGCAACACCATTATTAAAGAGGTTTCTTTGCCTTCTATTCTTGTCTCCTTTGTCATAGATTGATTGACCATGTAAGTGTGGGTTTATTTCTGGGCTCTCTGTTCTGTTCCACTGATGTGTGTGTCTCTTTTTGTGCCAGTACCATGTTATTATAGCTTTGTTGTATAGTTTGAAATCAGGGAGTCTGACACCTCCAGCTTTTTCTTTCTCAAGATTGCTTTGGCTATCTGCGGTCTTTTGTGGTTCCATACAAATTTTAGGAATATTTTAGTTCTGTGAAAAATGCCATTGGTATTTTGGTAGGGATCACATTGGATCTGTGGATTACTGTGGGTAGGCTCTATAGTCCTTTTTTTGAGTTTATCTTGATGTTCATTTTCTTACTCAGATTGGATGTTTACTTCGTTATTGTTTAGCCTTTCTTCTTTTACAACATGAGCTTTTAATGCTATAAATTTCCCTCTAAGTACTGCTTTACCTATATCCTATGTTTTGATATATAGTATTTTAACAGTATTTTCTGACTTAAACTTTCTTCTTTGATCCATGAGTTGTTTGAAAGTATATTTCTTAATTTTCAAATATATTTTTTCTAACATATTTCTGTTATTGATTTTGAACTGTCTTCATTGTGATCTGTATACCAGTTCTGAGATTTGCTGAGGCTTTATGACTGGCCCAAATATGTGGTTAATATTCATAAATGTTCCATGTGCACTTCAAAATATATGCTCTGCATTTATATGTAATACCTTGTATGTACCCTTTACCTCTAATTTTTTAACTGTGCTGTTTGAAAACTTGCTGATATTTGTCTGTCTGAGCTCTAATTACTGTGAGAAGTATGTTAAAAAGTTCCATATGATTGTAGATTTATCTATTTCTCCCTGTGATTGTATCTATTTTACTTTATTGTGAGATATTAGATGCATGGGTTTTAGAATTTTATGAATTTTACCTTTTTTCATTATGAAGTGACTTTTTTAATTTATGGAAATTGACATAATACTTTTTGCCTTAGTCTGTCTGGTCTCTATGTTTATGTTTTAGGTAAAATAATCTTGTGAATAGCATGTAGCCAGGTCTTGTTTTTATTACAGATATTTTTTGTTCTTACCTGAAGCATTTAACTTAAATTTTGTGTGCTTGCTGATGCACTGAGGACTTAGTTCCTTCATCTTATTTAATTTTTATTCCATCTTCTCTGCATTCCTTTTTCCTTTCCTGCAGCCTTTTAGATTGACTGAAATTTTCTCCCCCACATACAATGTTTTTCCTCTGTTTTGGAAATTTAGTATTCCTGTACATTTGGTGATTATACATTTTATATAATACTAACTCATTAAAGTCTAACTCCATGAGACACTCAATATTATTTAATAAGTTTTTGTTAATATATTTTCCTGTGGTTTCAATGAGAAGTACTAACATTTTCTCCTTTTCTTTAGAGGTAACACTTCATTTTCTTCTTTCTTTGGAGGTCAATTCTCAGTCTAATCAATGCTCTTTTAAGGTAATTTTCCACCTAATCTGGCTGTTTTTAAGCTTTTGTTGTTTTAAGGGTAACATCACTATACTGTATTTAGCTGTGGTTGTCTTTTTATTTACACTGAGTAGGGATTTGTTGGGATTGACTTTGTATACTGATGTTTCTTGTGACTTCTCAGAAGTGTTTTAGCCATTAATTCTTCCAAGATTGTCTCTTTTCCATTTTGATTAGACATGTGGGACTACTCATTTATCCTCCGTCTCTTAATTTCTTTTTTATTTTTCACCTCTTTGTGTCTCTGTTGTATTCTGGGTACTTTATTCAGACCTCTCTTCCATGCCACTAATACTCTCTTCAGTTATGCAACCTGTTATAAAATTATTTTGTTTTCTCTCTTTCTTGAAGTTCCTTAGTACTTTCTGAATACTGTTTTACTCATTTTCAAGCCACTCTTCTGTTTCTAGAAACATATTAAACATGCTTATTTTATATTCTATGTCTGGTAATTTCCCCATATGGAGAAGTTTTTTGCCTGGCTCTGTTGGCCCTTGCTTATGTGCCAGCCTGTGCTTTTACGGATATTAGACTGTGAACCGCTTGTTTTCCTTGCAGCTTCGTATCTGGGGTTGTAAGGTAAGGCTTGGAAGGAAGTGGGGAGCCCCCAGAGAGGATATGCTTGTTTCCCTCCTGTGACCTGGGGACATTGCCAGGTGGGACCATGTGGTATTCTCTGCTGGAGGTTTTACTGGACTATCCAGTAGTATGTAGTATGAATTTGGGCTGCAAAACCAAAGCTCCTGATCACGAATTCTTAGGGTTTTTTTCCTCCTGCTCTGGTTGGGATTAACCTTTAAGACAAGAATTTTTCTTCTCCAAAGATAAACTAATTCCTCCAGATACGAAAATAGCTATATGTCCTTACATTCATATGTTCTAAAATATCATACCCCAGTAGGCATGACTTTATCTCACTGTGGTTCTGGAGGGATTTTAAAAGCAATTTTCAAGAATATTTCACCTCATGAAGCTCAATCTATATTTATTTTTATAGGTTAGTGTCTTGAACATAAAGATAGAAGGAATTTGAGACAGAGAAATTAGGTAAAATTTACATACAAAATTTAAAAATCCAAAAATCAGATGTTTTTAAAATCCTATTTTCCTACTGGTCTTGTGTTCTTGAAGGGGTATGTATTTATTTTGCAACCTTTGTTTATGAAGAAGATTTCAATTATTCTTAGTGAGTTTCATAATTCTGTTAAAATTGGTATTTCTGAATTGGTTTTCACATAATTTAAAAGATCAAAATTACTGTTCCTGGAGAATTATATAAGAGACAATTTTATGCATAACATTTCAAAAATAAAATATTAGAATCTAAAAAAAAAAAAAAGAATTTTCCTTGTATTTTGTTTTGGATTCACCATTATATTGAAGGGATAGCCTTTCGGGAGCCCAGCTTTATGGGGACATCTCCTGTTAGATTTCCCACTTGGGGAGGTTCACCTGAGGCAGAGAAGACTTACCCGTAGGCTCGCTGGGCCCAGTGAATGGCCGAGAGGGAAAAGTACAGTTCAGAGCTCTTCTTACCCCACATTTCCACACCCACATAATAGTTGGCCTGAGTATTTCTTACATTCTTTCCAGCTCATGGATATATTTAAGAAGTTTAAAAATTTTATCCAGTATGTCTAGTTTTCCACCAAGGAGGATTATCCTTGTAATTCAGGCCTTCTCTATCATTCAGTAACGTTTTTGTCAGATGCGTTCTGAGGCCCCGTTTGGCCTGTGCTGCAAAGTCTGTTCTTCTGTTTTCGGTCAGTGATGGCCGAGTGTAGGCTGATCTTGGGTCATGCTGGTCAGACTGGTTTCTAGGTCAGCCTGATGTCTCTCCCTGTTCAGAGCCCTGCCTGGTTCTACTCCAGGCTCTTCTATCCCTCACTTTGCCTCTGGGGACTGGCATTTGTCACTTCTGGGATTTGCCCATGCAGACCGTCCTCTTTCCTGGCAGGCTCCCTGGCCCCTGGCCCTGGGTCTGGTCCTTCCTGGGGTTGCCTCGACCCTGCCCACCTTGATTCAGTGAGAACTGCCTCTCCCACTTCTCTGCAGGGACTCACCAGGGCCTGCCTCCCCACAGACTGGAAAGCAAGGGCCTGGGCAGGGAGGAGCTGTGCTGGGCCACCTTGGATTCCACGGTGCGGGGTGCTGGGGCAGATGGTGAGGGCCTGGCTTGGCTGCCCCTCTGGTGCCCTGCTTCACCCCATCTTCTCTCCTGGAAGCACTGGCAGTGGGAAGAGGACCCAGTGGGCCAGGCCCTGGAAGCTAATGCTCTGAGTTCCTTGGCAACCTAGAGCAACAAAAGCAGCCAAGGTCATGGTTGTTAAGCAACCTTGGAACTCAGCCAGGGCGGGCGTTCCCTCACAGGACGGCCCATGGCTCAGTTTGGTTGGGTCCCAGAGAGACCAGGCAGTGCTGGGCTGCCCCCCAGGTTCAGTCTCAGCCTTCTGCAGCCTGGCCCAGGCCCTTTCCTACCGGGTCTTCCCTTCCCTCCCCTTCCTTCCAACCCAGACCAGCCTTCCGTTGCCTGCCCTTTGTGAGCAGAATAAAGTCCCCTTGTGTATGCTGACCTGTCCTGTGTCAGTCCTACGCCACCACGTCACACTCAGGGTCAGGGCCACGGAAAACTCCAGGCAGCGTTTTTATTCCCGGTCAGAAGGTGCTTGCGCACACAGTGCTGAGGAGAGGTACACTGCACGGCTCTGCCACCACCTGGGAGAGGCGCAGCCCTGCCCGCCCTGACTCTGGGGTGGGCACCCTGAGGCATTTCGTACATTGGTGGTTTCACTTATGTTTTTTTTTTGTAAAATCAAAACCAATCCTGGAGTAAACAGGAAAAACCCTGTGATGAATTTTAGGACCAAACTGAAGTGGGAAGAGTTGGAGTGGGGCTGGGACAGTGGCCATGGTGGCCTGTCCTGCCACCATTGACAGAAGCCACTGGGAGGGGGTCCAAGGAGAGGGCAGGACACAGCTGATAGGAGGAAACTCAGACAGGAGCGCCTGTCTTCATCATTTTTTCACCTCCACATACCATAGAAATTTAAGCAAAATACCTATTATGTATCTATTTATATATTATATATATAAATCAGGCAAGTAAAGAGTTCAAGGAGTGTGGAGATGGGGCGCCCTAGAGGTGCCTGGGGTCAAGGCGCCGGGGTCTCTGGGGCCCAGGACACCAGCCCAGGCTGAGAGGGTTTGTCCTTATTGCTCATTTGGGGCTGGGGTGGGGAGCACCTGCGGGGCCTGCCCCTCAGCCTGCCACCCGTGCTCTCCTGGACCTGGGAGGTGGTGGGCCCCCTTCTCTGAGAGGTCCGGGGCTCCTGGGGGGCAGGCAGCTCAGATACAAACACTGCGTTGCTATGCTGAGCTACAAAACGCTCCTGACTCTGAGGGGTCTGCCTGGCTGGCTTCCTAATGTCTTAAAAAGGTGCTCTTGCCAGGACAGTTCTGTGGCAAGAAAGCACACTTACAAAGGTGTCTGCTAAGTGCTGTACTAAAAATATTTACTAAATTTCTTGGCTGGAAAGAAATGGAGATCATTTTTCTAAAAAGTCAAAAGCGGCTCCCTAGGAGGGGCCGGTTCCTCCCTGGGTGGGGCTGGTGACTGGGACAGCCCAGGGCCGGGCGGCCTGCCTGAGTGGTAACGGGGGGCTGGGGTCCCGAGAGCGCCCAAGCCAGTGAGCCGGGCCGGGGAAGCACTTACTCCTTCCGCGGAGCGAACCCCAAAAAGTTTTAAAAAATAAATAAACAAAGCAAAAAGGTGGGGTTTGGGCTGTTTGGGTACTAAACTGAGTGCATTAAAGAAAAGGCGGCCCAGCTGTGCAGTCGCCTGTTTTTGCAGGGCAGGGGGTCGCTCAGAAGATGTCGGGGCACATGTGCCAGTCCTGCTTTTCCTTGGCCTCCCAGTAGCCGCCCTTGTACATGCAGGCCGTCTCCCCGGTCAGCGGGTCCAGCCTCCTCTCGAACCACAGCGGCACGTGCACGTCGGCCTCCTTCTCTGCTGGGTGGGCACAAGGCGCGGGTGGGCTCCCCTCCACCCGGCCGACCCCCGCCCCGCCCTGAGGCGCCCCCCCCAGCCCCCGGGGGCCCCTCCCTCCCTCCCTCCCCCGCGCCCCCTCCGGCCGCCGCACCTTCCTCGGCTCCGCAGCCCCGGGAACAGGCCTCCAGCCTCCGTCGCCGCGACGAGCGCTGCTGCTCCTCCAGCCGCTGCTTCTCCGCGTTGGCCTGGTCCCAGCGGCCCTTCTCCATCAGCCGCTGGTCGGGCCGCCGGCGGCTGTCGGTGGGCGCCACGCCCTCCTCGTGCTCGTTGAGGGTCAGGGCCAGCGCCGAGAAGTAGTACATGTGCTCGGCGTTCTCCCTGCGGGGCCCCCCGCGTGCGTGCTCGGTTACACCGCGGCGGGAACCTGCAAATCCCGACCCGCTCTCCGGGCGTCTCACCGTGACGGTGCCCCCCCCCCCGCGGCCTCCTTCCCATCGCGGGGGCCCTCCCCGCCCTCCCCGCCCCGGGGGAAGGTGTGCGCCTCCTCGCGGGTCTGCGCGCCACGGCGCGGCCGTCCTCGGTCCGCTGCTTCAAGATGAAGCTTTGTTGATCCTACTTAGGTCTTTCTGCTCTTTGATTTTGCTTCTCTGGCCTTCCTTCTACTTTGCTGTTCTTTACCTAACTTCTTGAGATGGATGCTTATTAGCACAGTATTTCCCAGCGTTTCTTCTTTTCTGTTAAGTGCACTTTAAGGCTACACATTTCACTCCACCGAAGCCCACCATTTTTTATATTACTTTCATTAATATGTAGTTATATTTTCTAATTTACTTTATATTTTCTTTGATCTATGGATCAATTGGAAGTATATTCCTTAAATTTATATACATACGGGGATTTTTCTAGCCATCATAATTGTCTTGAGGCAGTGTACGTGGTATAATTTAAGTTCTTCGAGCCAAATTTTGCAAACGTCCCAGATGTAATTGAAGAGAGGGTGTTTTCTACAGCTGTCCAGTGCAGTCCAGTAACTGTCCACTCGGTTCTACTGCCCATGCTGATCCTGATTTTTCTTCTGTCCATTACTAAGAAAGGTATGTTAAAATTTCCCATTTTGGTTGTAAATTAGTCCATTTTTCCTTATATTCTACCAACTTTTCCTGCATATATTTTGAGACTATGTTATTAGGTTCAGGGTACATTCAAATTTAAAACTCATCTTCCTGGTGAGTTGACCTCTATCATATTCCCCCTCACAGCTCTAGGCTTTTTTTTTAGTTTGTTTTGTAATGTTAATGCAGCCACAGCAGCTTTTGTTTGCTATTTCTACAGACATACATTTTCCATCCTTTTATTCCAGTCTTCGTTTTCTTATTTACATGTACCTCCTGTAAACCACACATAGTTGTATCTTAAAAATTTACTGGAAATTCATCATAATTACTGATGTGTTGGATGTAAATCTTTTTTCTTTTTGTTCTGCTCCTTTTTTGGACCCCCTCTTCACTGGTCCTTGCACAGCCTGCTGGGATTCATGCACCCCTGACCCCATAAACAAAAAATAGAATCCTGATGTAACCTACATCTAACCATACGGAAAACTCCCCCACACATGCCCCTTCCAGGTGGCCAGCAATCTGGACTCCTGGGTTCATCAGTCCCTTCCCTTTAATTATTTTTGCATCGTTAAAGTGTGCTTGTGTGTGTATTCATATGCATCTATCTTACATTTTTTTAAGTGTATAAAAAGAATTATCATGGTGTATGTAACTCCCTGGGACTTGCTTTTTTTTTTTTTTAATATTGCTAAAATTTATATTGTTGCTTGCTGTGGTTCATTTGCTTCAACTATTGTATATAATTTTCCCTCCTATGAATATCCGTTATTTATCCAATAACTTTGGGTTGTTAAGTTTGCTTTGGAGTAATCTTATGCGTGTTTCCTGTTGTACATTTGCAGGAATATACTCCCAAAAGCGGAATTGCTGGGCTATAGAAGAGTCTGAGATGTTCTTTAGGAGGTAAGGCCAGCCTGCTTTCCAACAGTTCACACTCCCACCAGCAGTGTGTCAGAGATACCATAGATCTACATCTTTTTCAACACTTGATATTGTCTGACTTTTTTCTTTTTTCAAATAAAATGGCACCTCATTGTGGTTTTGATTTGCATTTCCCCGATTACCAGTGATGTGATCATTTTCATAGGATGACTGGCTTTACATGTTTTTCTGTAAAATTCTTGTGCATGACTCTTGCACTTTTCCCACTGGATTACTTTTGTTTTACTTATTGATTAGAAGTTCTTTATGTATTCTTTTAAAATTATTATTTATTTGTGGTAAAATATTTTTATATATTCTTGATACTAATCCTTTGTCAGATATAGGTATTATAATTACCTTCTCAAAGTTGTCTTTTCACTTTACTCAAGTTGTCTTTTAATGAGCAAACTTTCTTTTAAAGAATCAATGTATTTTTTCCTTTTTTTAAAATTGAAGTATCATTGATGTATTATATTGGTTTCAAGTGGACAACACAGTGGTTCAGCGGTTACCCATATTATTAAATCCTTACCCCAACTAGTGCAGTTACTATCTGCGACATAGGAAGACGTTACAGAATCCCTGGCTATGTTCTCCGTGCTGTACTGCAACCCCTTAACCAGATTACATTATGATTGAGAATTTATGAATCAACATATTTTAATATAGTTGAATATCAGTGCGTTTTTGAGTCTTAAGATATATTTCCTTAAGGTCTAAAAGATAGTCTTCTGTATTTTCTACTTAGAGTTTAACTTACTGTTTAATAGCAGGTCAAACTTAGTACTTACTGTAAGAGCTTTCTCTGGAGTCAATTTTTGTTGTAGTGTAAGGGCCCTGAGTTTCAGTTCACCTTTTCCCATTTGAGTAGCCATCTTCCCAAGTCCTTTCAGTGAGCAGGGCCGTCTTTCCACATGATCTGCCACCTTTGCTTAATACCCAAAACACACACAACCATCGGTCTGTTTCTGGACTCACTATTCTTTTCCACTAGAGCTTCAAAATAAGTTGTATAGCTAATAGGGAAAGTCCCTCTTTTCTCTGTTCTTCTTTAAAAAGTCCTGGCTCTTTATTCAACATAAATTTAAAAATTATAATACCAAGTTCTGTGAATGTCACTATTGGGATTTTTGATCTATTAACTCTTTAGATCATGGCATCTTTGTAATACTAAGTCTTTCTACCTATGAACATTGTATTTTTTCCATTTATTTAGCTCTTCTTTGATATCTCAGTAAAGTTTTACAATTTTCTCTATAGAGGTCTGGAATATAAGATTTATTACAAGGTCCATGACTCTGATAATATAATTGGTGTCTTGTCTTAAAATTGTATTTTCTAGTTTTTGTTTAGTGTGTAGAAATGCAACTGACTTTTGCATATTTATCTTATATTGAGGCATCTAAAATGCTTTTGCTGAATTTATTGAGGTCTGTTAATTTATTAATTATGGATTCACTTAATGAATTTTCTAATATGAAATTATCCTTGAATACCTGTCTTTTTTATGCACTGTTAGATTAGATTTTCTAATGTCCTGTTTTGGAATTTTGCTTATATGTTCATGAGTGAAATAGGAGAGAACTTTTATATTTTCACTATAGTACCTTTTTGCCTGGTTTGATACCAGGATTATCCTGACTTCACAGTAAAAGAGGAGAGTATTTCTTCTACTTATATGGCCTGGGAGATTTTATATAAAATCGGGATAATACATTTCTTGAAAATTTCGTAGAATTCACCTACAAAATTATCTGGGCTTTGTGTTTTCCTTGTGGGGATTTTTAATCTACTACTTCAGTTTCTTTAATTATTATAGGACAATTCATGTTTTTTAAAATACTTCTATAATCCATTCTTGTAAGTTCTATTTTTCCAAGAATTTGTCCTTCCCATCTGAATTCTAATCTTTGTACTTTGTGTCAATTCAAACTATCTTCATTAATATTAATTTCTATAATCTCTTGACAAGTCTTGCCAGCAGTTTTGTCAGGTTTTTTTCCTCAAAGAATCAACTGTTGGCTTTTCAAGCCTTATTAACTTCTGCTCTTATTTTTAAAGTACATTTTCTTCTTTCTTTGGGCTTATATGTTGGACTTTCTCTAATTTCTTAGAATAGAAACCCAAGAGAAGAAACAGTGCCAGAGTCAGTGAGCATATCGACCTGCTTAAGGCAGCACCTTTCCTTTGAGGCAGTGCCTCGATTACATCCAGCCAGCGGTCCTATCTTTTCATCCTTCTTCAGTTCTAGGTGTTTAAAAATGTCCACTCTTATTGTTTATGTGTTATTTAGCAACTTAAAATTCTTTCCAAATATATGGGGACTTTCTGTCATTTTGTTCTACTTCTAACTTAATCATCTCATCATAGATTGTGGTCTGGACGCTACCCTCTGTAAATCTGTTGTCTTCCTTCAGATATAATACATGATTGGTTTTTGCATACATTCCATGTATAACTAAATAAAACATATGTTCCCTGACTGTTGCAGCTGTGCGTTATATACGTATCTTGTGGCGTTTTGAGCTCCTTCTCAGCCGTGTTTTTCCCATTTCACCTGTCCACATGTGAGAGGGGGGTGGAAATCTCTGTCTCCATGTGGTGATTAATGGATTTACCTGTTTTTCCCTTTATTTTCCGTATGTGCTTGTATATTTTTGAGACTATTTCATTACATGCATACGGTCTGAAACTCTTTTATCTTTTATCATGTAGCAATTCTTAAAGTTCATTTCGCTTAAAATGTACTATAGTTATTTATTATAGGTCTTTGGTTAATATTTTCATGATCTTTTAACCCTCACACATCTTTGAGTATCTCTTAGAAGGAGGGTATATCTGAATTTTAAAAGATCCAGCCAGTCAGTGTGTTGCTTTTTAAATGGGGAGTTTCACCTGTTCATATCCATCATGCTTGGCCTTACTTCTACAGTGCTAATTCACTGCTTAAAAAATCCGCAGTCCTTCACATCCCTTGCGTCCTCTGTCTCCCCAAGCACGGTCTTGTTAGCTGGATCTACTCTTTTAATTCTGGATTATCATGGGAATATTTTATCTTTTCTGTGGGTCTTAGTAATTTGAAGTAACACAACTTAACTTCATGTATCCACTGCAGGACCTTTTGGATTTTCTTCTCCCCTTTTTAGAGCACTAGTATCTGATGCCATTTTCCTTGGGGTTTTTGTGTGGCAAAACCTTCTGAGGCTGTTTGCCTGAGGGCATGTTTTTATCATGCCCTCATATTTGAATGGTAGCTTGGCTGGATAGAAAATTTTACCTTTTAATTTCATTTTCTTTGTCTCTTGTCTCTGGAATGCTACAGGCCCTTTCAACCCAAGGTCTTTCATCTCTGTTTCTCTCTCCTCCCTATTTTTTTATTTATTTTGGTCTCATTAATCTACAATTACATGAAGAACATTATGTTTTACTAGGCTCCCCCCTTCACCAAGTCCCCCCCACATACCCCTTCACAGTCACTGTCCATCAGCATAGTAAGATGCTGTATCTCCCCTCTATTTTTATTTATTTCTTTTCCTTCTGGGGTTCCAATTAGAATATTTTAGTAGTTATTCTACGAATTACAACATACATACTTGATATAGTCAAAAGTCGAAAATGCACATCTTGACCCTCTTTTTGGGTAGCACAGAGGCCTCCTTTCATTTATCCTTCTTCTGACTTAGTGATCACACATTTGTATTCTCTGTTTAGATTTAAAACCATATAAAACATTCTTCTTGTTTACTCAGTGTTCATTTAGGTTCATAGCTTTTGTTCTTCATTCATGTGTTTCAGATCTTCCACCTGGGGCAAGTTTCCTTCTGCCAGAGGCAGATCCTTCAGTGTGTGTCTGCTGGGAGCAAACGAGTTTTTGTCTAAAAATGTCTATTTCAACTCCACTCTGCAAAGATGTCCTTAGTGGGTATGAATCATTCCACACATGGAAGATATCATTTGACTGTCTTCAAGCTCCCATTATTGCCGATGAGACAGCTGTTAGTCTGTTCTGCAGAAAGTATTGTCTTTAAAATTTAAATTTATTTTCTCTCTGATTTAGTTTCAGCAGTTTCACTGCATGGGTTTAGGCGTGGAAATTCTCTATTTGCTGCTCCCTCTCTCTCTCCCCCTGAGTCCTTCCTAGAAGGGGCTGGCCCCCTCTCTGGAACGTGATGTGCCCACGCACGCCTGGAGAACCTTCCCAAGGGTCTGCGGCTCCAGGGACTCACTCTGGGTCACCAGGTCGTCGGCCGCCTCTCCGAAGCATTTGTCTTTTCCAGGTTCTGTCTCTTTATCTGACCTATGTTCAATGGACAGAGTCTAATAAACCTTCCCATGGAATTCTTGACTTCAGTTGTTTTTTCTTTGTGGAATTCGTTTTGATGTCCGGGAACTGCTGTGCCACTTTTTATAGCTTTGTTTCCTGCACTTGTTTCCACCTTTGATTCTCACTCCTTGGACTGTGGGGACTGTCGTTAGACCGGCTGCCACCTGGTGTCATCATGCCGCCTCACAGTTGAGTGTCGGGCCTCCCAACACTGCTCTCTGCCCCCTGACAGCTGCCCACCCCCGTCTGGCAGGGGCCCCTGCCCGCTCCTCCCCCGACCCTCACTCACGGCAGCGGGTACTTCTTCCACAGCAGCTTGGCGGGCAGCGTCTGGTACACTGTCTTCTGCCTCCCGTCTGAGCTGGGGCTGCTGGGGCCGCTTTGCACAATCTTGGCGCACTCCATCTGTTCATCCCACGACCCTGACAGCACGTAGTGGGCCTTGCCTTGGCTGTCACTCACCACTCCTGTCACCTGCGGACATCGGCAGGACCAGCGCAGGTACACACCCTGCCCCGGGCCCCCACTGCCCCCGAGGCTCTTAGAGGTGGCCTTGCTGACCTTCCGGGCTCCCTCCTTGGAGAAGTAGCTGTAGGGCAGGAACTTCAGCTGGCAGTGGTCCTTGGTCTTATGGTTCACGATCTCGATGTCCCCCGTCTGGTGGGGGGAGGGTACAGTCAGGGCTTGGTCCCTGGGCCACACGCCCCTCCCTGAGGGCGCCCCCTGACCTGGTCGATCCATAGCTTGCCCACGATGATGTTATGGACAGTTGAGGTGCTCTTCCTCCACACGTAGTGATTCCCACTGGCCTGGAATTCTAAGTGGATGGCACCTGGAGGCCAGACATGGGGTCAGGGGTCATGGCCAGCCTGCCTGCCCCCAGTCCCAGGGTCCTAAGAACCAGAAGCGGTATTCATGCAGGAAGCCTGCCAGTGTCACCCACAGAGGCCCAGCCTGGCTTCTGGGTTGGCAAACCCTCCCCCTGTTAGATGTCTTTCTGCCCTCGAAGAGCACAGGGCCCAGCTCACCTAGTGGCATTATGGAGAGGTATTTCCCTCGGAACTTGCTGGAGATGGTGATCTCCTGCCAGAGGCTCCAGCCATGCCTGGAGAACACGTAGTGTGCCGCCGATGGTGGGTGGTGGCTCACCTGAGACCAGACGCACAGGACATGAGCGTCTGCGGGACATCAGCCAGGTCTGCTCCCACCCCGAGCCAGTCTGCCTGGTCGCTGTAGATGGCTGCTCCCTGGGGGGGCCACAGACCCCAGCAGGCCCCCAGGAACAGTAGTCACCCAGAGAAAAGCGAGTGTGCGGCAGTAAGAGCAGCCTGGGCGGCCGGCCGTGAGGGGCGATGACAGAGCCTGCCCCTCAGGGGTGTGCCTGTGCAGGCCGATGAGGTGATGGTGCCCTGCTCTGCCAAGGGCTTCCGTGCCCTCTTTCTAGTTAACCCCTCTCACCTGTTTTGCCATGCTACACTGAGGTGGCCCAGGCCGGGAAAGCCATGGCAACTGAGGGCACAGGTGGGGCTGGCACCCCCTCCTGTTGTCTCTGCTGCCAAGGGGCCCCATTACCTCCCCGCTGCTGTTCTGGCTCCCGTGGTTCCTTTGCCACAGGGCCCCAGGGTCTGGCCTCCTCAGCGCCCCAGCTGCGTCTCGTGGCTGCAGCACTGGCCCTGTGCCGTACACTTCAGCTGCCCTGGGACGCCCCCACTCACACGGCGCCTTGACTGGCACTCCGCCAGCGCCCCGCCTGCACCTCCCGCCTAAGTGGCACCTTGCTGCCTTCCTAACCTCAGCAGCACAGGCCGCACCCGCTGGCCACTGCTGGTCCCCTACAGCGGCGGCCCTCATGCGCCCACTGGAGCCACCCTGTAGGCAAACTCAGGAAGGACACCCCGAGAGGCTGGCCCCGGGGCTCAGCATTACCGCCTCCTCCTCGGCCGGATCTCGTCTTCCAGCTGCTCCCACCAGGCGCTGGGGACTCATCCCTGGACCCCCTTGCTCATGTTCCTCCTCTAACCCTTTAGCAAATCCCGGCTGTTCTTCAAAATACATCCAGAATCTGCCCCCAGGCCACAGTGGGCAGGGACAGAATCCTCTCTGCAGGCCTCCCTGCTCACCCGCAGCCCTGTGCTCCCCACTACAGCCTTGCTGTGCCCCCACAACAACTCTGGGGTCACGCCGCCTCCACCCTATGACTGCCCATCCACTGCCTCAGACCCCGCTACTTCTCCCTCACTCTCTCTGCCTCAAACTGCTGCTTGACCTCTATGGATCCGGAACAGCCAGAGCCACCTGACATGGCCCCCGCCCCCGCCCTGTGAACAGGCACCCCATCTGGTCACTTCCCAGCTGGCTGTACCCTCAGTACCTGGCACGTCACGGGCATCTGACCAACTGCGTTGAATGAAGAAATGCACTCGGTAGTTCGGGCCAGAACCCTGGGGTCGTCCTTGCCACGTTCCCTGCTTGCCTCCCTCCCTCTCCACATCCACACACCAGGGAACCGGAAAACCACTAGGTTCCATCTTCCCAACACTCCTGTTCTGACTGCCCACCTCCCCGGGTCTGGCCACTGCAGCCATCTCCCCCAGATTTGCACAGCACCCAGAGCACGCCTTTTAAACGAGCCCAGAGCAGGCACTGTCGGCTTTCTGAGCTCACCTTGGCGCAGGGCCTGGCATGCGCAGCAGGCGCGCAGCAGCCACCCAGGAAGTTCTGTCCTGCTGCTTTCATGCAGCGCATGTCCAGGCTCCCCTGCACCTAGTGAGGCACCAACGGACTGGCCCCCTCCAGACAAGGATGCCTAGGCTCAGGCTGAGATGCCCCCATGGGGAGAATGCATGTCTCTGGGGGGGAGGCATGGAGAAGGGAAGGAGAGGCTGGGGACAGGCTGACCCCGGACTGCAGGGCAGGGCCCCTGGACCCCTCCTTCACTCCTCAGGCTGCAGGCCGCCACCAATGGCAGGCTCCTTCCTGCCTGCTGCCTTCTAGCTCATTGGTTACCCCACAGTTCAGTCCATCGACTTCCTGACAGCACCCTGCAAACGTCCCTCCGCCACTGCTCCCCGGTTCCTGGCCCAGAGGAGCATCCCTCTGGGACGGTGTGTCCCTGCACTGCCCCATCACAAGAGACCCAGGGCCCGAGGCTGCGTCTCACCCCCAGGCCCGGCAGGACCGCGAGTAGGCCTCACCTGCTCGCACAGGGAGCGCAGGCCCATGTCCTCGAGGCGGTCCAGCTCGAAGGTCTCCCCCAGCATGGGGTTGAAGGGCTTGGCGATGCGATGTACGGTGGTGGAGTAGGAGGACACGGAGAAGGCGGCCACCAGGCACATCTGCTCCACGGAGCTGGTGCAGTGCACCGCTGTGTCCAGCAGGTGGTGGTACTCCAGGTCCTCCGTCAGCCGCTGCAGCATGGACAGGGGCTCGTTAAAGTTGACCTGTGGGCAGGTGGGTGGTGGGCCGGTCAGACGGGTACTGCGCACGCTGCCCACTCCGGGCCCAGTGCAGACCTGTCGGCACAGCACCCCTACTTGTTTCAGGTGTTCAGGGACACGGCTGCTCAGACAGCACCTTTGCAATGACACTCCTGTGTGTTCACCTCTCCAGCCCTCTGCCTTTCTGACCTGCCATATCCCATACACCTCACTCCATTTACTGTCCACTTCCCTCCCAGGATGCAAACGCCATGAAGTCTGGTTTTTTGACTTGCTCAGCACTGAATCTGTCAGTGAGTCACTGAGCGAATAAATGAATGGGTGGATGAAGCAGGTCCTCACATTCTAAGCGGGTAAGTTTTCTGTGGCACGCTCCTGCGGAGGGCCCCTGTAATGCTGGCCTGGGCCTGGGCCAGCTGTGGGCAGGGGCTTCCTCGTGCTCTCGTTTCATCCTCGAGGACACTGGGAAGGGGCGCTGTCATTCTCCCCAGGGTGCAGTGTGGCTGCAGGGCCCAGAGATGTGAGGGGACTTATTCCAGGCCACACAGTGAAACCAAGTTTGGCCTGAAGCCCCCCAGCTCTTCTCTCTGAAGATACCATTGCTGCCTTGGGGGCAAGAGGTGCTAGTCCTCCCCTCAACCAGCTGTGTGACCTCACGGGTGGGCACCAGGGATAGTTACTGGCATGGAGGAGGGCCTACCTGTCCCCACACCCTGCCACTCCTAACTCTGAGGTCTGGGGTGAAGAGATATTGAGGGGCCCTATCAGGCACAGAGGTGCTCTGGAGCCCTGCATCTCTGATCAGACTAGAGCCCCTCCCTGGCCCCTTCCCCTCAGAGCCCAAGACCCCACTCTCAGGGAGATTTCTGCAGTGATAAACACGACTCAGTAATTGGTGACAGGCTCCCCAGGTGTCAGGTGTCACTAAGAAAATGACGCCTGGGGCCACTTGCACTTCACACAGGCCACTGCTCCCCATGCATGCCCAAGAAGAGAGCCCCTGGGACCCACAGAGGCAGCCCTGCCTGAGCGGGCACCTACCGGCATGGGGATCTTGGAGAGCTCCCGGCCGATGCAGTTCTTCATGATGCTCCAGAGATTGAGACTGTAGTTGGGCTTGTCAGGGATGCGTGCCCGCCTCTGGACCTTGGGGGTGCCCTTGGGCACCAGTGAGGCGCTGTCTAGCACCTGCCAGAGAAGCAGAGGGTGCCTGTCAGCGGGGGCCAGAGAGCCCCTCTGCCCTCCGGGCCTCAGCTCAGTCAGGACCCAGCCGGCACTGGCTTGCTGCTGGCATGAGTGGCTGGCTGCTTTGCCTGGGCTGGGACCCACAGGCCACCAGGGCACTGGTCTGCCCCAGAGACCCTGAGATCAGACGATCAGCCTCCCCTGCCAGGCACGCTCGGGGTCTGCCCCTCACTCACATTGTCTGATGAGGTCCAGTCCGCAGAGCCTGTCGTCTCACCCTCAGCTTTTCTGCAGGAGACACGAAGGGGAGGCCAGTGACGGACAAATCCCGAGGCCACCAGGGCCGCTAGGACGAGACACTTCCTGAGGAGTAAGCGGGACCAAAACAGCCCTTTCCCTGGAAGAAACCGGGACGAGCCCATGGAAGGCAGCATGGGGCGTGGCGGGCTGCGGGACAGGTGTGGGGGGAGGCCGCTGGGAGGCTGGCAGGTCCTCACAGAGGCTGATGCCTGCCTGAGGGCATGCTCGTGGGTGCGCACGGGAGGCTCTCTGACGCTATGTGTCCCCTGGGTGAACGTGGCAGGGGGCAGCCCAGGCTGCGGTCAGTTATGTCACTGCCCCTGGGACCTGGAGTAGCAGCTCCTTCCCAGGCCGCAGCAGGCACCCCAGACCCCTGTGTTCCTAAATGCTGCCATGCTCACCAGCCCTTCTGTTATCAGGACCTTAAGCAATTCGAGGAGAATAAAAGATCCAAATGAGGACTGCACTCCCGACCATATTGAATCCACGCTCCGGCCCACGTGCCTGCTCCTTCTGCCTTGGCCTGCCCGCCGCCTCGCGCTCTTCCTCCCACGTGCTGCACGGTTTTCTCCCTGAGTTTAGTTTCCCTGGACAGCCCACAGCCACAGGCCTTCCCAGGGGTCCCAGAGGGGCTTACACCAGGGCTTTCGGTGCTAGTTAATGTCCCGGCTGTTCCTGTGTGTTCTACTGTGTATTTGGAAACATCTGGAAAGAGTAGACTTTTATGGAAAATAAAACAAAGGCCTGGAAATAGAAAAAAGAGACTTCCTGCATCTCTTGTCTGTTCCGGAATGCTGACATGGTGGAGGGAGTGGTTGGGACCCTGGGCAGCTCTGTGGCAACATGGAGCCAGCCAGGCCTTTCTGGACCGCAGCCCTTGGGTCCCAGCCCCTACCCATCTGCTCAGGCCAGAACCGGATCCAGCCAATGCCCTGTTCTCTCTCTCCTTTAGAATGAAATCCTGATACAAACTCTAGTTGGGCATTTTTGATTTAAGAAAGAACAGAACCAGTCTAAACAAAAATACCATCTGGAGCAAGACTTAAAAAATAACGCAAGCACAAAGCACAGATGGCACACAAGAGCAGGGCAGGAGGGCTGGCCAGCCGACAGCGGCCCTGCCTGGAACCCCCACCTGTCCTCTCTGGCCTCAGCGATCACGGTGATGAAGGACGGGGAGTCTTCCATGGCATCGAAGTACTCGGAATCTTCATCTTCCTCACTGTCACCTCCTTTGGACGCTAAGAGGCTTCCTAGAGACACACGCCGAGCTGCGGCTCAGGGTGCAGCTTCAGAACCCCCAGCACCCAAGGAAGGCTGAGCCCAGAGCCGCCCCGTCGCCCACCCCCTCCCGACTCCAGGCACTGGGTTCTGACTAACCTGGCCGCGGCCACCCCTGCTCCCTTTTCTGGAATGTGCTGTCCTCTTACTTCTCGGGCTCAGAGGCCTTCCTTCTTCTGGAAGCCTCCCCTTGTCTCTCAACATGCTGATCAGTTCGTCTGCGGCCCAGCTTCCCTCTGACAGACCCTCTCCCCAGGGTACCAGTGACCCCCCCAACTCAAGGTCAGGTGCTGCCACCTGGCATCTGGGCAGCCCTGCCAGAGGGCACAGACAGGCTCACTGAACTCTTTTTTTGATAATTGGAACCCAGATACAGGGAGACTGTTGCTAGTTGGTGGCGGGCACAGGAAATAGGCCACACCTGGCCAAGCTACGCCCAAATGTGTGTGGGTGTGGGTACGGTGGCTGTGGAAGCAGAGCCAGCTGGGGGGCTTGTGGGGCCGCAGGTGGCGTGGATGGAGCGGCAGCCAGGTGGGCAGAGGCCGGGCAGCCCTGAGAAGGGGACCCAGCAAGGCCGGCGGCCCTGGGCTGCTCACCGGCACTGAGGCTCCTGGCGGGGTGGGCGGCGTGGCCGGGGGCGCTGCGGAAGGCCCGCTCGAGGCTGTCGTGCTGCTCGGCCAGCTGCTCGATGGTCTCCTCCAGGTGGGTGCGCTGCTCTTGCTCATACTGCAGCGCGCGCTGCCACTTGCGGCTGTGTGTCTCCGCTAGTTCCAGGAAGTCCCTGCAGGCCTGAGGAGGGAGGGGAGGCCCGTGAGCCTGGGGCCTCGGGCAGGGGCCCGTCTGCCCCGTCTCCCCCCTCCGCCTCCCCGGGCGCTCTCAGACACCTTCGCTGCCCACTTAGCTTCTGCGGGGACAGGGCAACGCCGGCTTTCTGGGAGCCAGCCTAGGGGCAGGCGCCTGCCCTGGACGCCGGAGCTACGTCACCAGCAGCAGCTGATGGCGCTGACTTTTCGTCACTGGGGGGCCCGGGTGCTGAGCTGCCACCTCCTTGCCGTGTGTGTGCTGGACCTGAGGCTCATCCGGCCCCCGGCCCCGCTGGGGCCCAAGGAGCCCGAGGCACGCAGCTCTGGCCAGTCCCTGGCTTTGGCCCAGAGGGAAGGGAAGGGAAGGCCACATTCTGCCGGGCCGCCTGGCTCTCAGAGGCGCAGGGCTCCTCCGGCAGAGGAGCGGGGACTGGAACTTGCTACCAGGTTCCCTCCAAGCTCCTGTCGTATCACGTACTTTCAGGGGCTCTCCAGGCCCCAGGACCTGCTGTGACATCCAGATTCTTTCCAGCTTCCCAGGCCCATAAGTGGCTCCCCCCCCATCTCAGGAAGCAGGCCCCGCTCCTTCTGCTCCCGTCCTCGGAGGGGAGAGGAGGGCCCGGGCCTCAGCCGCCAGCACGGGCCAAGCCAGGGACCTGGATGTGCCCCTCTGCACTGCTCCAGCCGGTTTCCCCGGGCCCCCGCACCTGTGGTCTCTGGCTGCCTCGCCCGGCCTGCCCACCTGCTGCTCTCGCACGAGCACCGGGCACACACAGCACACGCTGGCCTGAGGGGTAGAGACGCGCTTTTCTGGAGCGAGACAGGCACAAGCCCGGCCCCCACATGGGTCAGAGCAGCAGTACCCTGAAGGGCTGTCAGGAGGAACCAGGGAGGTGATGGGGGCGCCAGGTGAAACAGCACCCCACAGACCCTCCAGCTGCTCCTCAGATCTCCCCCGGAGGAAGGCCCCAGCCCCACAGTCAGGCCCCGCCAGACACTCGCCTCTGCCGCCATCCCAGGCCTGCAAGGGAGCTTCTCCAGTGACCATCTGCTTCTTTCCCACCCACGGAGCCCCAGAACTCAGCAGCTGCCCCAGAGCATTCTGGGTGACACCCTACCAGGAGGTGGGTGTCCAGGTCTCCTCAGGACAGCCGGGTGGACCAGCGCCTCGCCTGAGGCTCCCTGTTTGGGCACCTCCCAGGCCTGGCTGGGCCGCAGGGGAGAGCCAAGCCCCGGTGGCCAGCCTGGAGCTCAAGAGACACAGCAGCCCTTTAACAAGCCCTCCCATGGCACCTCCCTGTCATCTCACCTCGCCCCCAGCGCCCCTGCGGGAGTGTCCAGGGCAAGGGGTCCCTCCACCCACTCTGAAGAGGCAGAAGTCCTGGTTCCCACGGAGCTACCCAGCCCCGCTGAGCCCGCGTCCTGTGACAGAACGGTGATGTCTAACGGACCCGCTCCCACAGGGTCCCTGGTCTCAGCTTCACTAGCAGAATCCTCTGCGGGGGAGGAGTGGTGTCAGCCCCACGTGACAGGTGAATAAACTGGGGTTTGGTCCCCAGCAGCCCCTCCGCAAGGCTCTGGGGAGGAGGTGTGCTCACCTCAGGTCCAGGGTCCTGACCACCCTCCCTGCCTGGCCGCATCTAAGCCACCGTAACCTGCTTCTCCAGAAGGGGCAGGGATTTACACTGCATAGGTTGGGGTGGCAGGGAGAAGTCTCCTGCATTTTACAGGCTCAGGAGTCGAGAGAGGTTGCATCCAGGGCAGACACAAGTCTGGGGCTATTTTGAATTTCCAAACTATGGATCTATAAGGCTCACCTGCTGGTATGGAGCTGCATTCACTACCACACAATCTGGGGACCCCGACGTGGGCCTGGGTGGGTCGTGGGAGACTCGGCTGCAGGACTGAGTGCTACTCCGACTTCTGACCCCGGAGCTGGGCCTTCACTGGCCTGGGTCCTATGCGGGCCGCCAGCCTCGCCTGTAGTCCTGCACCTCCCCTTCCCGGGCTGCAGGCCTCTGGATGGGGGCCGACGGCAGATACGGTGACCACCCACCCCAGCAGCCGGGCTAGAAGGCATCTCTTTGCTGGGTCTGCGCTAGTGGGCGCAAGAAGTGGCAGCAGTGGGGGGTTGGAGCAGAGTATCCTTCTGGGCACCTCAGGAATGTTCCAGACCCTGATGGGTCCCTGTGAGACAGGTGGGCATAGACCCCACCCCATTCCACAGGCTCTGAGGTCACACAGCAGGAGGAAGCAGACCCAGACCCCAGGTCCTGAACCCCAAGCTGCCACTGCCAGAAGACCCACGTCCCAAGCCATCCTTGCTTCCCCACGGCCCTGAGCTCGGCCCCACCGCCCAGGCAGATTGGTCTGGGTTCCTGCCGCCTGTCTGCCGCCTGAGGAAGGACTCCTAACGTGGCAGGGGTGCCCACAGACTCTGCTGCTGGCCCAGGCAGCTCTCCAGGCCCCGCCGAGCCAGGTGCACAGCACATGTCAAAAACGCGCCAGAGGCCTGACGATGGTGGAAGAGTGGCACCCTCATCTCCCGGGGCGGCATGGGCCCCAGCACATCACCTCAGGGAAGCCCCTTGCCAGGCCCTCCTGTCCCCACTGTCCCTGGGGACCAGGGGTGAGTGGGGCGGGATCCCGGTCTGCCTGGGCCCAGAGCCAGGATGCAGCCGTGCAAGGCACAGTCCCCTTGGGTCTGCCTGCCTTGGGGGGAGGGTGCGGAGGCCAGGCTGTGCCCTGTACACTCGTACAGGTGAGACGAGGCTGGTGTTTCGTGATTGTCCAGGTTCTTACTGTGGGTGCCCGGCCTGGTGGCACACTGCCTGCCCCACCCCAGCTGTACCAGGCCACTCGCTTCTGCCCCTGTCCTCCCTCAGCATTGCTCCACCGCACTGTCACCGTCACCCCCGTCAACCCTTTACAGCACTGTCACCGTCACCCCTGCCAACCCTTTACAGTGCCATAGTCACCTCTGGGTCGGTGAGTGTCAGCAGAGATAGGTGCTTTGTTTTCATGTAACACATAGCAGTTAAAACAAGACTTGTAACGGAGCCACAAACAACAGTGTAGAGTGGTAGTCAAAGGTCAAGGTAAGCAATTCCCACCGATTTATGTCAGAGGACTCTGTCTGGCCCCTGAGCTGCCTAGCAGCAAAAGCAAAAAGGAAAGATGATCATAGTATGAGGATGATTTAAGCTCTCCACCTCGTACCCTTGATGCTCATGAGCTCTAAACACTTTAGAAATAACCATCTTCATTTTTAAGGGAAAATGGAATGTTTGTTACATTTCTTGGGACAGCTGACAGCCTCTTACAGACCTGGCCCCAAATCCCCTCTAGACTTACCTCCTGTGGCGCCACCCTCCCAACTCTGTCACGTGTGGCCTACCAGGCATTGTGTCTTCCTCCCCCTTCTCTGGCTCAATCCCAAACACACCTGCTTGTTCTGATGCCCACCGCGTGCCACACACCGACTGCGGGCAGGGCTGTCTGGGGTATTCTCACTAGCACCGAGGTATCTGTTTTAATTACATGATTGAGGTGGGAATGGAGGTTCAGGGAGGCCGAGGGGCTTGCCCGAGGCCCCCAGGCAGAGTATGTAGGCCAGGTCTGAAGTCCCATGGACCCTACCTACAAGTCTCCCAGTGCATGGGACCAGCACTGGCCCTGCACCCCGTGTCCCTCTTGAAGGCAGGGTGGTGTGGGACCCCAAGGCCTTCCCAGAGTGGAGTGGGGCTCCAGGGGATCCTTGCTACAAGGATGTTGGGGAGTAACCCTGGTGAAGCAGTAGGACCCAGCCCCTCCTCGCTACCGCCCCCTAGCCCCTCTTCTTGAGTCTTGGGAGTTCTCGCACGGCCCAGGCTGCCGCCTGATAACCTGGCCCTGGGTGGCCTCCACCTTGCTGCCGTTGCAGGGCCAAGGGTGGAGAACAGCAGGGCGACAGCTGGGGCCTCATTTGGGCCACATGTGGCTCAGCTGCAGACGTAAAGATCCGAGTGTCACAGTTACGTGAAGGGGGCCGTGGCAGAGGCTGCTGTTCCCCAGTACTGAGAGGCTCGTGCGGCTGGATCAGGTCTTTGCCAGTGCTCGGAAGGTCATCTGCAGCACATAAGCTGCCCTGGTCCCCCTGTGCGCCTGTGGAGAGTCGGTCTGCCCCTTCTACCCCATGCACCTACCTGGTGTTCATCCCCAACTGCCGCTGCCAGCCTTCCCCAGGCCCCATTCCGTCCACAGAGGGGTAGGCGCTGGCCTGGCCCCCCCACCCCTCGGAATGCTGAGCTGGGCTGTGCACTGTGTGCTTGCTAAGCTGGATTAGACCTGGGCCCCAGCAGTGGAGCCAGCTGGGGGCGGCTTTTGGGGCCCCTGAGACCCTGCCACATTCTCAGAGAGCTCATGCCCAGCCCAGAGCAGGAGCGGTGCCCTAGGCCATCCCGAAATGCCCTGCTCATACCACACAGGGGCAGGAAATGGCAGAAAAGGGGCCCAGCATCCAAATCCCTCAGGGGCACCGCCTCCTGCCCACCACGCGGCAGGCCTGTGACTAACTTCCTGGGCCTTGGTGTCCTCGTGGGATGAACAGGGGGCTGAACCCCAGGGCTTGTACAGGCCCCACATCTGGGGATGTCATCCTCTGGAGGGAACAGAGCTCTAGTCTCCCCACCCTGCTCCTTCCTTCCACCCCCAGGGCTGTTGAGGGGGTCCCTGAGTTCAAAGGTGTGGGTCCTGTGGGCGGTGGGCTTCCGTCTTTGTGGGGAGGGTGCTGAGCCTGCTGAGCTGCCCCAAAGCCAAGTGAGAACCGGAAAGCCGGGGGTGGGAAAGGCACCCCCGGCACCAGGCTGGTTGCTCAGCAGCAGGATGGGGAGCCAGCAGGCCCCCCGCAGACTTGCCCCTCCCAGATGCCCTGCCTGGTGAAGGGCGCTGTGGGGCCGCCCAGCCCGGGGAAACTGCCGGGGCCAAGCTGCGTGGGCTCTAAGGGGA